CTTGACTTGCCAGATCGGACGGGATGGCGTATTTTCAACGTGGTATGGTCGTACACAACGTTGGAACATGAAACTCATTTGATAGAAGTGCGGGGGTTGTAAAGCAAACTTGAAAGAAACATATAAGAAACATAATGAACAGAGTACCTAAAAATCGATCGTTGATCTTCGAGATACAGAGTCAATGAGATGATGACAAATAAGGTTAAATAGATCAATTGATTTGATCTTTTGCGGGAAGAAAAATTAACGTAAGATCTGTTCTTGCTAATGATCAGTGTGCGAGTGTGCTCCCGCACGGTGAACAAGTTAAAGCCTGCCTTCGGGTAGGCTGCCATGTTTGGGGTTCATGGCTAGGTAGTTCGCTCTTCACCGACGGGTGAAGGCCAAGTGATCTACCGAACGTCCCCCGTTCACCAAAATTTTTAAATTTATTTTATTTTCAGATGAGTAGCCGCCTGGAAATTTCAATAAAGGAGATCCGGAATAAAATTAAATAATTCCATTTAAATTTGAAAAATGTAATGAGGATAAAATACATGAAAATAAGGAAATGAGCAGTATGGGCGGAGCTTAAAAACCTTTTAACACTTGACGTATAACTGATATAAAACTGATAACAGCGTAGCAACAACAGCTTACGAACCGAACAGTGGATCAGAAACAATAACTCGAAAGGTGAGGTTAATATTTTCTATCAATTCTTTGAACGAATACTTCCTCAAGAAACAATAGCCATGTCTTTTTCACCATCGTCTACTGATTTGGAAGATAGTATGAAGACAATTCAAGACCATATCGATATGGTCTCTACTCAAAGTATTCAGAACATGGCAGATTGCCAGGCTTGGACACTTTCTCATAGGTAAGTTATAAGTTTTCCATTAGTTTTCAGAAGAATGTTTTTCCAGAGACTCTGTCACCCCAACATCATCGGTTGATTTGATACAGATGATGGGGGGAATTGAAGAAAATGCTAGCAGAGTCCTTATTGGTAGTCTCAACAATGAGGTTGATTGCAACACTTGGACTTCAAGCTAAGAAGATTCTGAGACGGCGCTTCATACACATACGCGAAACAATATAAATTATTTGAGAAACTGTCGTCATGAATATACATATAGTAAATGAGTACTTAATGACCAAGTCTCCATTAATTCTTAGAAGAATATTCTTCCAGAAACAANTCCATTAATTCTTAGAAGAATATTCTTCCAGAAACAAACACAGCAGTATTTTATTCTTTCTAACTTAAGGGGAAACGTTCGAAAAAGAGATTGTTCACTCACATCACAGACTTTCCTGTAATAACACGAATGTTCAAGATTGTTTCAGGTACTCATCTTCTTACTTCGAAGAAAAGAAAAATTTTTAATTATTATATTATATTTTTTTTTCGGGGGTTTTTTTGTTATCGAACTTTGAACCAAAAATTCTCTTATAATTTAGATAACAAAAAAATTCTGGATACACTCATCCTGAAGCGATGAGCCTGCATGTAACAAGATGAATACTGTGAGAAACTGTCGTCATGAATATACATATAGTAAATGAGTACTTAATGACCAAGTCTCCATTAATTCTTAGAAGAATATTCTTCCAGAAACAA